TACCATAGCCATTTTTTAAGGCAACAAACAGGTGGGTGAAACCCTAGAGATGCTTGTGTGTATTGTGTTGTCATTTTCATGCATTTTTGTCTTGTATTTAGTCATGCTATTTGTTTGATTTTGATCTTTTGCATACAAACTCTAATCTTACTATCACGCATATTTGGAAGCAATAAAATACGTAAAAGTAAATCTAAGACTATTACAACATTATTATAGGGAGGGGGTACAAGTTTGAATAGGGGGATATTTGCACAAAATAAAACCCTAAAACTATTATTACAACCAAATTGAAATATTACATAAGATAAATAAATAGACAAATATTTAAATGTACAAACAAACATAAATATGCAAAGGATGTTTTTGTATTTATTTTTATGCATGTAAAATAAATTACTTTTGTCTAAAAATAAGAAAAATATTAATGATTATTTTGGAAAGGATAGAAAACCCTAGTTTTGGTTTTAAAAGAAAATATATTATGTTCTAATTATTATTTATGTACAAGATTAACAAATAAAAATATATGCAAAAAAAGTTAAAAAATAAAATATGTATGACAAAATTATTTTTAAGTGTGTAAATAATAAAAATGAAAAATATAATATTTTTGTATTATTTATAGATTTATTTAAGAAAATGAAAGTATATATTATTTAATAAACTATTCTTATGCCAAAAAAATAATAAAATAATAAAATAAAATGTGAAAATATAAGAAAATATTTTTGGTGTTTTTTAATATTTAGAAAAAATAAATAAAAGTCAGAAATGTAAAAGAAATGAAAAATATACAAAAATAAAACAAATGGGCCAATGGGGTGCAGAAAGTAAGCTATGGGGTGTCAAAAGCAGAACAAAGCCAGGCCTAACCCATTTCCACTTCGTCCATGTCCTCCAAAAACAAAAAAAACGTGTGTCCTGTGTTCAAACTTGTAACTCCTGCATACATGCTCAAAAACAAAATCTTGTAACATGAAAGTTATAGTCGATGATCATACGATTCTAACCATGTAAAAAACTTGATCTAACTCTCAAAGACCCGAGAGAATTTCATTGGCCCTAATTTCTGACATAAAAAAATCAGCACGTTCATCATCTAAATTCTCCTAGCTCAGTTAACATATATGAGTTATATGCATATGTACAGTTCAAGGACATTAAGGGCTACATTTTTTATTCACAAACCTAAGCCTAATGATTCCTAAATAAGGAGATAGAAGTTTGTCAAATACCTGTTTCAGCCAAGTTCGAGTATGGCAATGCAGTAACTTTCAGTGAGGCCTGAGGTTCTTTTGAGCTTGCTTGATGTTCCCTTGACCTGTCCCAATGTTTAGTTTGCTTTGAAATGGCCTGAATGTCTCTATAGAACTCAACCTGCAAACTCATAATTTAAAAATGGTGAAGCTTGAAAATGCAGTTACAGTTGCTTGAGAAGGACTGAGATAGTTCAGATGTATTGTTTAGAATGTGTTTGAAGTGGTTTGGGACAAAACGCACGAGCGGATTTTGATTTGGAAGTGATTCTGCAGAGCTTGCCCTGTTTTGGGCAGAAGTTGGTGTTTTGGAGGGTTTGAGAACTTGTTAGCTCGTGTTTCTGGCCTTAGACAATGTGTTGAACTTGTTTGAAATGTGCACAAGTCTTGCTCTTAACAGATTACAAAGTCGTGTGGACTTTTGCCAATTACTTGCTTTTGAAGCAAAAGTTGATTTTGAAAATGCTAAGGCCTATACAGGCCTGCTTCTTAGCTGCACATAGTTGGTATACTTTGCCCCAAGTTTGTGGACTTTGTTTGTAGCAAAAGGCTTGGTCCAATGCTCAAGAGAAACAAAATCGCATAAAGTGAACTTTATGAAAATGACATTGTTATCTTTATGCCAAAAATGGAATAAAACCTTGTATAATGCTCTAAAGCTCAGAATCAAACCAATATCCATTGTATTTGCATTTAATTAAGGAGTGTGGAAAGGTTTAAGACATGTAAAACAAGTACAATCATTCTTTGGGCATATTTGCAACTTGTAGCAATGTGCAAAATGCCTTGGACAAAAGTGATGATTTGCCATTTTCAATCCTTTGATGCTCCCCAACCATGAATGATCTTAGAGAGTTCTTGGACATTTTGGAAAGATTGAAACATGCTCTACAATCCATCTTTGAAATGAATTTTGAGATTCCAATTGGAACTAGGTGAAAAGTTGCCATGAAGATAGGTCAAAATCCTGCCTAAACTAGGGCAAAATTTCACTAAGTTAAAAGTTTCATGGACCCTTGTTCACAAAATCATAACTTGAGATCCAAGCATCTTTTGGGAAAACTTTGTGAATCAAATTTGTAGATTTTGTGGAGGACTACAACTTTCATGTAGTAAGTTTTGTTTGAATCCAATTGCATCATGGTGAAAAAGTTGGGCAAAGTTGGGAAAAAATAAGAAAATTTCATAACTTAGAAAAATTCTAAGTTATGAAAATTTTCCATTTTAAACCCTAATTTTGAAAATTAGGTTTCTTGGTGAACAAGTTTCATGTTTTGACACATCTTGATGAAAAATGACCCTTGGCACTTGATTTTGACCAAAAAGTCAAAGTTTGACTTTTTAGTGTACAGTTGATTTTTGATCAGTTGACTGGAAAATTCATTTGTCAATCCAATGCATTTGAGATCTTTTGAACCTTGTGATTAGGTAAAGATGATGCCATTGAGTCCTTGAATACATGCTTGAACCCAATTTGCCATTGGCTAGGTAAAAAATCAGAAATTGCCCTTCTGTAGTCAAAACCCTAAAAATGACCATTTTGCCCTTTTGATGATCTGATCAAATTTCTTGAGGAGTTGTGGTCCAAACTTGATCAAATGGTTAATATGAGTCTATAATGTTGATGTGGATAAAAAATTATAAGGTTTGACTGTAAATTGGTCATAATTGACTTTTTCCCCAATATAGCTAATTTCTAGGTCAATTGTCTAATTGGCTGGGCAAAAATTTGATTCAAAGCTTGAAACTTGGTATGAGCAATCTTAGGAGTCCAACATGAAGTATGAAAGTCACATTGAGCATTGGAAGTCCAAAAATCCCTATGAAAACTCAAACCCTAATTTCAGGTCATCAGTGCAAGGAATGGTCTTGAGCTGAGCAAACCCTAATCCTGTCTGGAGTCCAAAGAGTCTTGTGAGGGTAAATCTTGATAAAATGAGAGGGAAAATTTTGGGGTACAACAGCGGCCTTTGGTGATGATGCCTCCAGGATGGCTTTTAGGATTATTAATCCATTTTTCATTTTCTCTACTTAATTCTTAGCTAGATGAGTAAAACACAAAACCCTAAAACAAACACATATATGAACTTACACAGACATTCATCAATCTCGTTGTCTTCCTATGGCCGAGCTCAACCATCTCCCTAAATTTATGACAGAGACCTCGTTCAGGAGGTTAACTACTTCCCTCCATGTGATGGTAAGGTAATCATAATCAATGTTAGCAATGTCCACGGGGTCCTCAATCCAACTTAGAGGGAAACAATATGCACCATCCTCTCCAATTGTGACCATGGAAGTGCCATCTCACCCCTCACTCTCACGAACCTATCATTCCAATTCTTATAATGGATGAAGTAAGGCTTGAACATAGTCTTTCTTCCCAGGGTGCCTAGGGTAGCCCAACCTCCTCTCAGCCTAGTCTTGGTGCCATAAAAGGAGAAGAAGATCCCTATAGTTAGGTTGACGTCCAATCGTTAACATATAATCTTGAAGGATCTAATAAAGGGCCAACCATTCACTATAATTTGTGAGGGGGCGACATTCATATTCGCGAAAACCTCAGATTCGTACAAAGTGAATGAAATCAAAACACATAAATCTTGGACGATTGAGAGATACATGTAAAAATAAGAGTGGAACGAGTCTGTTGAAACGATCATGTTGGCTCGTTCCTTTTCTGAGCAAGGCTCTAGAATGACGTAACCCTAATCGCCTTTAGCAGAAAGGCTGACGGGCTTTCGAAAAAAGACCACTCTTTTTAGTGAGACATAAAAGATTTCAAAATCCTCGTTACCCATTTCTTTTCAGAATCCTATGTGAGTTAACCTTACCCTAATCACACTCACATATGGGTGGCAAAACAGGTCGTAGCCCGCTGGGCCAGACCGTGCACCCGCCAAAATATGACGGAGTTGGGTTGGGATTTTGAGACCGCCGCCCATTAAATCTCGCCCCACTAAAGACTGCCACCCGCCAAAGTCCGCTATGTAAAAACCTGTCGCCTGCTAAAGTCCGCTGCACATATTCGTTTAACTTGTCCCACCTTAAATCCGTCATTTTTTAAATTAATTCTAGTAATTTCAATATTTGATGATTTTATTTTATACATTTATTTGTGAATATATGTAATATTTTTTGAAGTAAAATTTATTAAAAAGATATTTTATAAAAAAATTGTTCTAAAAAATCTAAGTGAAATGTAATTTTTATTTATTAATCTTAAAAAAAAAAAAAAATAGGCCTACCGCATGCTAACCCACCATTTTGATAGAACAAATTAGATTTTTATGTTTATTTTTATTTAACAGATTTCTCTATCTATTATTTTTTGACGAACGGCAATAGACTATCTTTTTTGACACCGCTACTCTCACGTACCAAAACAATCCGACAATCCTTTCAAAACAAAGCTACCCCTATTATTTATATATTTTTTTAAGCAAATGTACATACGTGGCAAACAGCCATTTACTAACTAGTAACTACCGTAAAACAGTGAAAAGTTCTATCAAGTAATAAAAAAAGCGCCATGACATGACGGCTAAGACAAGGGTGTGATGAAATGAAGTGTGCGATTATCGAGATTCGAGTGTAGTACACCGCGAAGCACTGGATCTCCGGGGCGTAACATCTTCTGAACTCGATCCCGAACTCTCACTACCCTGCACTGAATTGCACTTCCCTTCTCTCTCCGATTCCCATTCCATGAATCTCTGCTAAACCTTCTACAGATCCAACATGGCCAACTTCCTCGCCCAGTTCCAAACCATCAAGAACTCTTCCGATCGCCTCGTCATTTCAGGTACTCCATTTCTTCCCTCTGCAACCTTAGATCCGATCTCGTTTTTTTCACGATCCATCTCTCAGTTACGAACACACAATGTTATTTAGGGTTTTTAGTTCAATTCGATTCCACTGCAATATTATGAATAACCGCGTTACATAGGCTCTATACTATAACTGTCAGTGATCTAGATGTGTGTGTATGTGAGCGTGTCTGTGGTGTTCTTCTATTGATACATGATTGAAATGATTGTCAGTGGAGGATGTGAGTGATTTGTGGCCAACTGTCAAGCCTGCTTTTGAAGCGCGGTTGCCGTTTAAACGGGCGAGTTTGAATAACAAGGCGAGGAATGCTGTATTGGTTGAGAAGTTGCCGGCTGAGTTCATTTTAACTACAGATTCAAGGCTTCGGAGCCGGTTCCCTCAGGAGCAGTTGTTGTTCTGGTTTCGAGAGCCGTATGCAACTGTCGTGCTTGTTACCTGTGAGGTAATGTGTATTCCTGTTGATTACTTTTTTTGATTCTTGCAGAAGGCTGTAATTTTTTGATAACTTCTGAGGTCAGATTGGGGAGATCCTCTATGACTTTTGGCACCGTTTATTGCTTTCTGCTACAATGTAATTCAGTTACTTCTTAATATGGACGCTTTGATTTATATATAAATAAGCAATGCTAATTTTTTAATGTAACTGTAAAGACCAGAAACATAAATAAATAGGATTAGTTCTTACGAAGTTAAATATGACCACTCTTAAAAGTTAGAGCTAACTTAAAGAGGAGTCAGATTCAAATAAATATAGTACAAAGAATATTGATCAGTGACTATTGTTAAATAGCGGCTATAGTGGCGCTAGCGGCTATAACAACGTTTAAGTGCTATAGTATAGTGGGATTTGAAAAAAAGCGCTATTGTTCCACGCTATGCTGTTTAGTACACATTATTGTTAAATAGTGGCTATTACACTGTTGCATAGTGGAATTTAAGCAAACCACTATTTTCCGCGATCTGCAATTGATAACATTTTGTGTTCATGAATTAAGTGTAATCACAGTACATTTCATAGATAAAATTTGAATTGTATGAACCTGATTTATTAGTATCTCTAGTATAGATGCATTCTTGGGCTAGCACTTAACTTGTAGGCTTTAAGGAGGACTACTTACTTGCATAGTATCATTGCCTTTTTAGTACTGGCTAATGGGAGAGGGTGTTATTATTATGCTTGTCCAAGCTTTAAATATAAAGATTTTTAATGTGAGAGGACAGTGGAGAGATTTGGTTTTGTCCGACTCTAAGGTTGTCGATGTTCAGAAGCGGTTTGCAGGTGGTATCTTATGCAGTATCCAAAATGATTCTGGAACAGCATTCTGGAAGGCTAATTGGATTGGCAGGCAAAATTTAAGGGACGCTTTTCCTGAGGTGTACCAGCAGGCCTATGACCATAACAGTACTGTTGCAGAAGCTGGCTTCCTGTATGAATCGGTGTGGCAATGGGACCTTAATGGTTTAGTTTCTAATAGAGAGGAAATTGAGGACCAAATCTGGGAGGAGTTTGTTTCTCATGTGCAGGGCGAAGCAGTTCACAGTACTGATGGCGATGATTTCGAATGGATCGTCGGAACCGATAATTCCTTCTCGGTCAAGAACTGCTACGAGATGTTTCGAGATGGCTTAGCGGACTCTCCTTTGGCAAGGGATTTAGTGATAGCCATTAATCACTTGTGGGAAGTTAAAGTTCCTTCTAACATTCTGTATTTCGGTTGGAGACTTTTGTTAAATCGTCTCCCTACCAAAGGTCAGTTTCTGATAAGGGGTATTGAACTGGACGGTAACTGTGTGTTATGCAGTAGGGCCGAGGAAAGCAGAGAACACTTGTTCGGTGGGTGTGACATTTCGGTAGACATTTGGCAGAATGTTTATCGTTGGTTGGGAAGTAGGATGGAATTATCTATGACAGAGTATATGAGTGTTTTTATTAACTGGGGAAAAGTTAAGTGCAGAAAGAAGAGGATAACTATTTCGGTGATATGGATAGCTACTGCTTGGTGTATTTGGATGTATCATAATGCCATAATATTCAAAGAGTCTGTTTTCAATTTTGACGATTGTATGACGTTGATAGTCCATAGATCTTGGAATTGGATGAGTTCATATTGTACTATTTCTGAAGGTTTTAATTTCTCGACTTGGAATCTCTTACCTCTCCTTTGTTTTAGGATGTAAGGGCTTTCCGTTTTGTATTTTGGGCGGAGTATCCCTTATACTCCCTTTTAATAGATTATTGCCTATTAAAAAAAAATATAATAAGGGGAAACCTTGGTTTTGTAGTATTTACAGCCATGGTAGTTACTTTAATGAATCCATTTTAGTTTGTAAGATTTTTTTTTAGTGTAAGATTTGTAATTGTTGTTGGACACGAAGAGTACATTTTAAATGCTATTTGGGTTAGCTATCTTGGTTGTGGGGAAAATCAATACTGATATTTTGCTCCTTTATTTTGGGGATTCTGCAAATGCTTGAATAGTAATTATTGGTAATATGATGATAAAATCCTTCATAAGGATCTTTATTTCATGCCGTTATTGTCGATTTCCCATATTCTAGCTAAAATTCTATGCTGAGCTTTAGAGCATTTGTGGAAAAAAAATCTAAATCATCAATTATTGTTTCTTTAATAATTTTTGGTTTATAATTTTTTCATTTCTTCTGTTGCAAATCTATTATGTAGTATGACTCTTATTTTCACTTCCCAGGATCTTGATGAGTTTAAAACCATCCTTAAACCACGCTTGAAATTAATTGTCCAGAATGACGAAAGGGAATGGTTTATTGTATTTGTATCTAAAGCTCATCCAGCTAATGACCAGGCAAACAAAATGTCAAAGAAAGTATATGCTAAACTTGAAGTTGATTTTAGCTCCAGAAAAAGAGAAAGGTAAACTTGCTAAAGGACCTGTGACAACTGTACTCTCCCTACCCAACATAATTAAAATGACTTGTTGGTTGACAATTTTTCCAAATTATTTTTGTCTGTAGTTTTTGTTAACATTTGTTTTAGACATTACAGAATACAGTCAATGTACTTCTCTTTTGAGCAATACAGTCAATGTATAACAATCTTAACAATCATTTATTTGCATACCATTCTTGTTATTATAACTAGATGTGGCAATAATTAGTATAAAGTGGTTTCTTGAAAAAAAGTTAGGAAAGAAAAACCAGAGGTGATATCTGAGTAAGTGATCTATTAAAGAAACTGTAACAGTCTGTAACAGATTAAAGGCTAACTGCAACAGCTCTATCACAATAATATCATTTGCAGAAATATATCAACAAAACAGAGACTGATCTAACTAACTCTAACAGCTAACTGGTGCAAAAGCACATTAACAAAACTGAGACTACACATACATGCAGAATAATCTGCCAATGGAGATTGTAAACTTAGTTTTACGGGTTAATGTCATTATTGCTTTCAGTGGGATCATTCTACCACTGTTGTGTCCTTCACTCAACATAAAGGAAAGTTCATAAATACTGTGGAATCAACTGTCATATGTTAATAATACATTTGAGTGGTTGAGAATTAAAAAAAAAAGAAGAGAAACTGTAAGAAGTGATTCTTACCATAAATATTTATCACTTACAAGTGAACAAAGAGTGGCTATTCATATTTTTCCTTCTCATTTGTTCCAAGGTACTCGTATAGCTGTAAGACTAGCAATGTTGTATGGGACGGGGTGTTGGGAGGTAAAAACCAATCCGCGGATATAATGAGCGTTGCAGAGATGAAGATGTTGCATTGGATGTGTGGTAAGACTTAGACAAGATTGAATTAGAAATGACAACATTAGAGAGGTAGAGTTGAGCTTAGCCCTTATAGTAAAAAAGATGGTATAAACTCAGCTTTATGTGGATTTGGCATGTAGAGAGAAGACCTGCTGGTTTTGTAGAAAGGAGAGCAGATCAAATATAGAGTAGTCAAATCACTAGAGGCAGAGGAAGACCTAAAAAAACTATAAGCAAGACTATTAAGAAAGATCTCAAGATTAATGAGCTCGATAGAGATATGATATATAATAGAACCGTGTGACATTGCTTGATCCATGTAGCTGACTCCACTCAGTAGGATAAGACTTGGTTGTCATTGTATTCATTCCAAACTACATGTTTAGTTTAATCGATTATTATTGATATTTGATAAAACCTTATTTTCTTCCCTTTTTATGCTTTTGACACTGTAATCCTTGTTTAGATGCTGCAAATATGATATGCATTTCCCTGAAGCTAATTTTTGGGAAGATCTGGAATCAAAAATAATGGAATGCATCAGAAATACACTGGATAGGCGTGTACAATTTTATGAAGACGAGATACGGAAGCTCAGTGAACAGCGTCTCATGCCAGTCTGGAACTTCTGTAATTTTTTCATTTTGAAGGTTCATCCTTTTCTTATGAGTTGTGGACTTGAGAGTACGATAAACTGTTCTGAAAGCCCAGCCTTTGTTTATTAATTTTCCTTTTATGCTCATTGGAGATTGTGGCTTTTCGTAACAAATTTGTATTCTGTACTCAGGAAAGCTTGGCTTTTATGTTTGAAATGGCGCACCTTCATGAAGATGCCTTGCGTGAATATGATGAACTAGAACTCTGCTATCTTGAAACAGGTGCACAACGGTTAATTTTCTTCTCTGTTGTTATAGTCAAGATCTAAATGATGTTTAGAGTGACAGTAATGTGATTTAGACGCCTTTAAGGAACATTAGATAGTGTTAGCAGAGCGATCTTTGAATAATGAAAATTGGCCCAAAATATGATGGGTTTAATGCAGTTAACATGACTGGAAAGAAAAGAGACTTTGGCGGGGCAGACCATGGTGATGATCAGGCAGCAATTGTTAATCCAGGAAACAAAGCATTGACACAGATTGTCCAAGAGGATTCTTTTAGGGAGTTCGAATTCAGACAGTATCTGTTTGCCTGTCAATCAAAGGTTTGCCCTAGCTAAAGCACTTAGTTATTTTACATGAAACATGTTATATATGTTAACAACCTATTTGTGAAGAAAATTTGATGATGTATCTCATGTTCTCTTAGTTGTTTATAAACTTGAATGCTTCTACTTGTTGAATTTAGGATCTAAGATGGATTTTACAGATCTGCTGAACTTGACCTCTTGCATTAAATATAAATTCATTCAAAATAATATGCATAAAATATTTTGTTTTTTGTAAGTCATTTGTTTTTTCATTATTTCCGCATTCCCCTGTTCAAGTGCTTTATATAAAATTTAAGTCAAGACAGTCTGCAACATTTTTTATACTAAGACACTATTGAATCCGTTTAAAGTTTTTTTTCTCATTTCTTCTTTTTGTTTAGTAAAACTTGAAAGTTAATCATGTCATCTAAATTTTGGATGAATCTCTGTTCATGCACAAACAGTATTGTTGTATTTAACCATGTATAAATGCTGTATAACGAGTCTTTTCTGTTTGTATTTGAGAATATAACAACACAAACTTCATTATTTAAATATCTGACCATGACCATCTGTCGGATAACCAGTGCATTTCATACGTACTAAAGTGTGCTTCTCTAACCATTTCAAAGGAATATATTATTAGAAGATTGAAAAGCTCCCATGTTTGCTATGTGAGATGTTAAGTGAAAAATAGGGGGGAAACATTCACTTTCATATGTCATAAGTGCCTTCTCATTGAAAGTTTAAACAAAAATTTTAATGGTTAAAGTTCCTTCCATATTTTGGTTCCTAGTTTTTATTTATTTATGGTCTTCATTGCTGATTTAGAGACTTTTTTTATCTTCTAAAGTCGTAAGTTGTAATGTCTTGGATTCTTTGAAAACTATATAAATGAGTTCTAATTGACATTTGAGTTTGTGCTGCTATCCCAAGGAATGCTTGGTCAGATTCTTGTGACATTCAGCAACTACTTATTTATTAAGCCTCCTATGATATATAGTACTTTACTGTCATTTTGCAGCTCTTATTCAAGCTAAACCGACCTATTGAGGTAGCATCACGAGGTTATTCGTTCATATTAAGCTTCTCAAAATCCTTGGCATTGAATGAGGTATTTTATTATGTTGTTCATAAGTGCTCACCTGTATATTCCTAAATTAGTTCAATTTGAATTGTCTATTTATCTTCTGTTTATCCGACATTGACTTCTATATACCGTTTCTTCTCAGCGTATTCTTCCTTTTTGTATGCGTGAAGTCTGGGTGATAACTGCTTGCTTGGCTTTAATTGAAGCAACCACTTCCAACTATAGTGATGGACTTGTGGCACCTGGCGCAGAGAAGGAGTTCTTTTGTCTTCTTGGTGACCTATATTCTTTAGCCAGAGTTAAGGTGAAATGCTCGTCACATGAAGTCATTGAATAGACAGTCTATCTATTTTGGTTTGATGATGGCTTAAATCCACCACTGAGTTGTAAATGGAGTTGAATCAAAGACATTATTTTTCCTTCTTTTTTACCTTTCCTATTTTGATTGCTTGGATTATTACTGAATATATTGATATTATGTGGCATACCAATGTAACTAATGTTGCTTTATGATTTTTACATATATTGGCAGTTCATGAGGCTAGCTTATTTAATTGGGTATGGTACTGATATAGAAAGAAGTCCTGTCAACAGGTACACTTTCATACCTGGGAATCAAGTATATTCTGCATTTTCATAATCTGATCATTTTGATTCCTTTTCATGAATCTTGTAGTTCAACCAGTTACATCATGCTTGGTTTTATTCTCCTTGTTTGATATCACGTTTGATTTTATTCTCCCTGTTTGATAGTTTTTTCTTCTCTTTCGAGCAGTGCTTCCCTCAGCTTGCTACCTTGGCCTAAGCCAGCTGTTTGGCCCTCAGTCCCTGCTGATGCATCAGCAGAGGTGCTTGAGAAAGAAAAGGTAACATATAATTATCATAACGAGTATGGCATCACCAAATTCCCCCCTACCCAACTGATGTTTTTTAGTTTTAGACAAAAGATTGTTCATACCTGTAAAATGGTTTTTTTAACGCCTTCTGTTAAATATTTCAGTTGAATATTACAAGTGAGATTATAAGCAATGGATGCTATAGTTATCCCATCTGGAGATGAAATAAATAATACTATATAAGTTATAATTTATGACGATCGCTATATTTCTTTTCACTGACCTGCCTGGCCTCCATCAGTTAGCAAAACAATTTTCATCAATGCGTTGGAGAATACATCATAAGCTAACAAATTGTTGAAATTTGAAATTGAAAGATTCTTTCCTTAGAAATTCTTACATTTCGCCCCAGCCAAAGTCACCAAAGAACATCATACCTATCTAGTCATGAAAATGCTTCAATTTCGCTCTTTTCACAAAATATATTTCACTTAATTATTGGTTGGAGGCTCTTGACCATTTCTTTATATCCTTTATAAAGCATTTTACTTAAATTAACAAGAGAGGAAAAAGTTCTCGTTGCTCTTCATAGAATTTGAAGCTTACTTTAAAAGTGGAAGACAATTTTTATGCCCATGGAACTGGTTGGGCACATATTTTATGTTTCAGTATTATTGTTTTGATTTCTCCCGAGTTTTATCCATTACATATTTAACATTATGTGGTTATACCTTGGCAGTTGATTCTCCAAACAACTCCTAGAATCAAGCACTTTGGTATCCAGAGGAAACCCCTGCCCCTTGAACCAACTGTGCTACTACGAGAGGCCAACAGGCGGAGGGCTTCACTTTCCGCTGGAAATGTGTTTGAATTGTTTGACAGTCGCCAGGGTCCAATGGAAGGGTAATGAAATGTTATATACTGCTCCAGATGAAATCACTTACAGTAAACTACTCTAAAATCTTATAATTTCTGTTTCAATTTGGATTTTTATCAATCTGATTTATATGCTGACAGATCAGGTTTTGATTCACCCCCCAAGATGTCACCACAAAAAGTACTCTCAAATGCGATGGCACGCACTAATTCTTCTCCGGGAAACTTTGATAGCTCAATTGGCCGACCTATGAGGCTTGCTGAGATTTATATTGCTGCTGAACATGCTTTGAAGCAAACAATTTCTAATCTTGGGATGTTACAATCATTATCATCATCCGAGGAGTTTGAGGTATCATCATGGGCTGATATCCATGCCTTTGATTGTGTACTTTATCATATTTCTCCCCTATGAGTACACATTGACTTGTAAATGATTGTTAATATCTAGTGCCATTTGAACTCCATCTTCATTAATGTCTTTGTGTTCGTTTCTTGTTATGGGCAGAAAAAATATCTTGAGCTAACTAAAGGTGCTGCTGACAATTACCACCGTTCCTGGTGGAAAAGACACGGAGTTGTCCTTGATGGTGAGATAGCCGCTGTTGCCTTTAAACATGGACATTTTGACCAAGCTGCAAAGTCATATGAGAAGGTTTGTGCACTGTATAATGGGGAAGGATGGCAGGACTTGTTGGCCGAGGTCCTTCCCATTTTAGCAGAGTGTCAAAATATTCTTAATGATCAAGCTGGCTATTTGCTATCCTGTGTGCGGCTACTTTCTCTTGAAGATGGATTATTTTTGACAAAGGAGCGTCAAGCTTTTCAAGCAGAATTGGTTCGTCTTGCTCATAGTGAAATGAAAGATCCTGTCCCTCTTGATGTATCATCCTTAATTACATTTTCTGGAAATCCTGGCCCTCCATTAGAGTTATGCGACAGGGATCCTGGTATCCTTTCAGTAATTGTCTGTAGTGGTTTTCCAGATGATATAACTCTTGACTCAATCAGTCTTACATTAATGGCAACATATAATGCAGATGAAGGTGTAAAGGTATTTGTTGTTGGGTGTTATTTGTCTAACATCAATAGTTGCACGGGAAATTTATGGCTTATAATTATTTCTTCCCTGAATAACTCAACATTTTTATTTTGTTAGGCATTGAAGAGTTCTACAGCTATTGTGTTACACCCTGGTCGGAATACTATTACCTTGGATCTACCACCTCAGAAACCAGGATCATATGTTCTTGGAGTTCTTACTGGGCAGATTGGGCAGTTGAGGTTTAGATCTCATGGTGTTTCAAAACTTGGTCCTGCAGAGAGTGATGATGTTATGAGTTATGAAAAGCCAGCTAAACCTATTTTGAAGGTAATCTCTATTCTAGCACTATGAAAAGGAATGTGATGATTCAATAAAAGATATGAACAATATAAGTTAATGTCTATGTTGTCAATAGCACGCTATAGCACTGCTATAGCGGAATAGCATGGTGGTGGTAGGGTTTGGTGCGATTCTATTGTTATAAATTTCAATCTGAACCCTTTGAAGAGTAATGTTATGTTCTTGCACACAAATAATCCTTCTGTTCTTTTTTCCCACTTTTAGTTCAGTTCTATTTTATTCTTCTCTGCTTAAGTTTTTATTACTCAATACTTTAGGTTCTTTAACATTAAGTATGACGATCTCTTTAATTTTGTGTATTAATCAATTTGAGTATTTATTTTTACTTTATACACTTATTTTTAGTCTTTGCAATAGCAGCTATCCCGCTTTCCCCTATGGCATTTTAAGGGGTCAGTGCTATGCAACGCTATCCGAGATTAACAACATAGGTTAATGTCAAATATCTATGACTGTCTTCTCTATTTTTAGGTTTCCAAACCTAGAGCACTTGTGGATCTTGATGCTGCTGTTTCATCTGCTTTGTTAATAAATGAACATCAATGGCTTGGTATTTTAGTTCGGCCATTAAATTACTCCCTCAAGGCTGCTGTCTTGCATATTGATACTGGTCCAGGATTGGAGATTGAAGAGACAAACATAGTTGAGATGGAAAGCTATGTTGGTATATCAGACAATGATGAGGACGAGGTGCAGAAAGATGGTGCTCAAATTGAATCTTTGAATTCTGAGAAAAAGTTTGAACGATCAACTCTTCATGATGGTAAAATAGTGTTTCCGAATTGGGCAAGCGACACTCCTTCTATTCTCTGGGTTCTAATTCGGGCCATCAGTGACACACTCAACAGAGGATCTTCTTCAGGTTGTAATGGTGATAGAAAATCTTGATGGTATTCACCTCATTTATATTAAACTTCATGCACTTATTTACTTTTGTTGTTCTTTTCAGTCACAACAAGGAGAGAGAGTATTGTAGATGGAATGAGAACAATAGCTCTAAAACTTGAATTTGGAGCATTCCACAATCAGATATTTGAAAGGTTTTTCCATTTCCATCATTCTTGTATGTTAATCATCATATAGATATTTTGAAGCTCCCCACATCTTGTTTTTCCTTAAATGTTTCTTCTTTTGCCATTAGGTACATAATAATATTTTACCTTGTTATCCAGGACCCTAGCAGTGCATTTTACACATCCTCTCTATGTGAGGACACATGTTACTGATAAATGCAATGATGGTACCGTGCTTCTGCAGGTATGGGTCCGTATTTTCATAATCATTTAATTAACACTTGATTATGAACATTAGACTATCCATTTTATATGCATAGGCACCATATATAATTTAATCACTTTTACTTCCATTGCTTTCTGCAATGATGAAAAAATGCACTGACTTTTTACATAAAAATGCACTGACTTTGATCACTCTTTCATGAGAAAAAAATTTGACTGATTGAATTTATAAATCTGAAAGGAGTTTTCATATCCCTCACAATCATATGAAACAAAATGTATTTTCAAAACATTGAGTTTTACACGCCTTTATGCAAATAGCTTAATAATTTGAGATTGTTTGTTTATGATGCGAGGTATCAAAACCTCTATTACCCTGCAGTTGGGATTTATGTTATTTATCTTCATTCTTCTAAATAAAATTTCAACATAAAGTGGTTATGCATTGTTCACCCTTCAAGAACAAAGGCCTGTTGTATGAGGGGCATGTCAAACATGAAACATCTTAAGCTTCTGAGATGGTTTATGAATACATTCAAATGCCATAATATACCAAAAGTTTAAACTGATATAAATGCATTATACTTGTTTGGAGATTTTTAAGCATCGATAAACTTTTTTAACGATATTTTGTCATGTACGCAATTAGCACTAAAATTGGCCAAATACATCCCTGCAGTCCTTTAAGTTTGATGTTTGTAATTAGTTGGTCCTTTAAGTTTTTTCTTGTAACGAGTTCAACAGTTAGTCCTTTTAAACAAATTCTGTTATAAAAAAGTTGATTTGTTCGTTATTTACACATACACTAAGTACACAAGTGGCTGGAATGCTGTGCTTAGCCTGTCCTACTTGTACATCCATCAAGTCTTATGACTGGTCTGAAAGAAGAAGAGTATGTGTTGAGGCCTTAATTTGTTACCAAACTTTCAAAGGATTTATGTGTCTTGATGAATGTAGACACAGTTTCAAGGCATGTAGACCAATCATATGACTTGATGTTTGTACATGTAGGATGGGCTAAACCCACTATTTTGCCACGTAATGTAAATAACGAACATACTAGCTTTTTTTGTAACAAATGTGTTTAATAAGTTAACAATGTCAACATCTACAAACTAAAATGGCGAACTTGTTACAAAAAAAAAAAAAACTTAAAAGTCATGAGATAAATTTGACCACTAAAATTTAGATGACCATCTTTTATATATTATTTTATTCCTTTTGTTTGATAATCACCCTCTGGTTCATGTGACTTCTAGGTAATACTTCACTCTGAAATAAAGGCTACATTGACCATATACGATGCTTGGCTTGATCTTCAAAACGGATTTGTTCATTCTGGACAAACTGAGGGTAGACCTACTTCAAGCTTCTTCCCACTAATCATATCTCCCACTTCCAAAGCAGGAATTTTGTTTAGTATCTTCTTAGACAAGACAAATGCAGAAGGTAATTGCAATTGGCCAGAGATCAATGAAACAATGTTATTGTTTCTTTTTAATATACCACCAAATAATTTGACCCGTGCCCCTAAATATCATAGTATGCAAAATTCAGGAATTAGTTATCACAATAAGATCATAGTGGGTCTTTACATTTAACTGGAAGTGCATTTCTATAATTCTATTCTTTTTCAGAGGTTTCTTGTTGGTTGACTTATTCTAATTCAAGTTTAATGATTTGTTACCAGCTGTTGTCAATTTACCAATTCCTTATCAATCTTTCTGAGTATGTATGGAAATTGTCCCCATGTCTTAACCTTCAGTTCATATTAAACACTAATGATGTAGTTTCCTGTTTTTTATTATTAGTTGCGCTGGTTGATGAGTAGTTTTGATTTGACCATGTCAGTACAAACATTTTTATTTATTATGTTTTCCCTTACAAGATTTACCCATCAAGAATGAGGGGTATGTCAAAAGACTCTTGTTATTTGGTTGTGCATTTTTTATAACTCCATTTTATTTTATTTAAACTGATACAAATATAGCCAAGAGTTTATGGCTATTTCTTAGTAGACAACCTTAGTCATAGCCGATTTTCCCATGGCAGACCTTGTTGTTCCAATATAGTAACTATTTACCTGTGAAAATAATTATAGCATAATTTTTGGCTTTCTGCTATTAACAGCCGGGTTTGTCTTTTGTTTTTATAATTAAATTGCAGAAGACATTAAGCAACCAGAAAGCATATTAAATATCAAATATGGAATTTCCGGTGATAGAACAGTTGGTGCTCATCCTCCTTTTATAAATGAATCTACTGGAGTTGATGGTGCTAGACAGGAGCTGATCTTCAAGAGTGTAATTATTTTGCAAAGGCCTGTGCTTGATCCATGCCTAGCCGTTGGTTTTCTTCCTCTCCCTTCAGATGGCCTGAGAGTTGGACAACTAGTTAAGATGCAATGGAGGGTGGAAAGGTTGAAGAATTTGAAGGAGGAAGAAATTTCTGCACAGAATGTAAGTACCCTGTAAACAAATAGAAGAATGTTTGCTACTTCATCATTTTTGTGGATCTTTGTTTGGAACGTCCTTGTGCGATATATTTAGTTTTGTTAATTTTTCCAAATATGGTAACAAATCTCTTACTTTTCCTTTTAGTTCTTTAAAAACTTCATTCATCCAACTCTTTCCCAAACAGCAAAGCATACATGATTGTTCTTCTAGAATGATGTCAACACATTGACAAGTCTCTGTATTTTCTTTGAACTTGAAGAAACAGGAGAAAAATTAGTTAAGTATCTGGTTTCTAAAGGAGTTGTTTCAGTCCTGAATCAAGATTAGTGTTGGACAAGTATTGTGCAATTCTTGTTTACTATTCCTGTATTCTGTTTGATGCTATAATTGTTTCAAAATTTGACAGGATGAGGTGTTGTATGAGGTAAATGCAAATTCTGGAAATTGGATGATCGCTGGAAGGAAAAGAGGGCATGTATCACTCTCCAAAAATCAAGGTATATCCATCTAGAACATAATTTGCATCAGGATATTTTCTGCAGGAACTACCTGCAATATGCTAATGGTTTTCTTATCATGGTAGGTGCAAGGATAATTATCACAGTATTATGCATGCCACTGGTTGCTGGTTATGTGCGTCCTCCTCTACTCGGGTTGCCAGAAATTGACGAGGCAAATATAAGGTGTAAACCTTCTGGGCCACATCTAGTGTGTGTTTTGCCACCAACACTTAGCTCATCCTTCTGCGTTCCAGTTAATTCATGATCTTACACGGTGTTTCTACTCAAAGCTTGATTGAGATTGTTCCATAGGAAGTTTGATTTTTTTTCTAGTTTCATTGAGAAATAGAAAAGTGTATTCTTCAACTCATCATTACATGAAAAATCTCATTAGTTAGATATCTGTTGCTTAAGTATTCTGAATCAGTGTGTTGGCACCTGGTTTATCATGTACAGTGGAATTTTGTGCTCTTCCTTGTACGATAGATACAGAAACCATATCATTATTGTGTCATTATATTATAAATGATAAAAATTGGTTGGAATCATAAACATTTGTGAGTTTTATATTCTTTCTTTAAACTTGTAAATGCTTACTTTTTAGCACATAGTAATGAATTTTCTGTGAGCAATCATTCCACTTGTATAGTTTTATGAGTTTAAAGGAGAAGCAATGAGAGTGAATTTTTTTTTTACACTGTCATTAGAAATATATCACTCGGCCATGTCATACAAGTAATTAAAAAATTTTAATCTGCCATGCCATGCAAATAATTAAAAAATTTTAGTTTGACTAATTAAGATACATGATTGTTATTAGTTGTCAGTGTAAAATTAATTTACCTTGTTAATGTATTCCCTCCCAAAGTTGTTGACTCGTCTTCTTTAATTTCTCTTCCAATTTTTTCCATTAAGTATTTATATCCAATGACTTCATATATAAGTAAATTTAATTATTTTTTTCTCATGATGACATTTATAAAATATCTCGAGTTCTAGTTAATGTAAGTTTTATTTTTTTAATGACTATTTTATTAGGTATGGTTTTTAATGACTATTTGTTCTTTTGTAACAATTTTTCAACGAGTACTTTTAAATATGTACTGTTTTTTTAAATGAGATAAAGTAAAGCAACTACATTTAATTATGTTAGTCAATTTAACTTTTGTTTGTAATCAAGAAGGGAGGGAGAATAAATTTGGGACCGTTCAATTCACTCCATGACTTACTCATACACTCCTCGATGACATTTTAAAAATACTATTAAAATTTAAATTCTAAAATTTGGATGTATAAAATATAAAACAAACTCTCTAAAACACATTAAAGCATGTGTTAAAAAAAGCTGTAAAAAAATATCAGAACTTTGATTTTTAAATCAACAAGTGTTAAAAAATTCAAGACTTTGAAATTCAGATTAATAAGTTATGTAGAATAAACTTCTAATGCACCTCAACACACCATACCTATGCTCAATCTCATAATTACGTAAATACATTTTGAATATTTTAAAGAAATCTGAATTTCAAAGTATGAAATTTCTATAGAGATTTAAATACAGAAGTTTTTGTTTAAGTATTCACGTCCAAACCTTTCCCTCTCCCACTCCCTTTTTTATTTCAGTAAACAAAGTAAACTAGAGCAAACAGAGTTGTGAGCATACTCTTGTTTCAATATTTTTCGAGCTTTTTCAGAACTTCTACTCTTTTGCGTTGAAGTTTAACACATCTCTAAAATTCTACCCCGCTACAGTCAATCTAAGATGAAATAGAGCAAATATTTGATATGTTACTCATTTTCTTACCTTTTTGATTTGACATGCATGCATTACCTAAATAATTTATAGGTATGGTATATTATGGTTAAATGCAATAGACATGTGATATTTGTTTGTCATGAACTGCATTGCTTTGAAATTTTAAACATTTGAGCTTAAGGTTCGTGCATGCTCTGTTTCTGCTTCATATTTGTTGGGTTTCGTCAGTCCGGATTTTGTAATTTAGAATTAGTCTGACTAAAAAAATATGGATTTACCTATTTTTTGTTTCGGTTTTCCAATATTTTCTTTGGTTATGACATGATTTTTCTTGTTTGATTATAGAAAAATATTTGACAACAAAGAAAGAATGAGACATGGTATAGTGACCCAACATGCTTTTGTTTGTAGGAAAAAACTAGACCATGGCGACCTGCAATTTGAGAAACTTTATTTGATGATTAAGCATCGACTTCCCGGGTTCATCCGTCTCCGACATTGTCTTCCTGAATTCATGTGTCCCATACTGCCCTCGAAGCCTCTGCTGTCCCAGATGGTGTCGTGCTTGATGGTTTTTCGGGAGACCCATCAGACCTTTCACTACTTCCTCCGTATCCATACCATCCTGCCAGGAACATGTGGGAGGGAGAGGTAGCATAATCTTTGAACTGTCTGTTATAATATTTTAATTGTCTGATAATGAAGTATTATTTTTTGTAGTACGATGATACATTAAAATTAGGGGTGACAAAACGGGTTTAGTCCATCGGACATGCCTGCTTTGTCTGCACTTTTTTGCACGGTCGGCTAAAGTTTTAGGCTCACACCCTATATTGTGTCTGCCCCACCTATTTTTTTTTTTGCAAACGGGGTTATTAACATAAATTTTTACATTTTTAGACTTAAAATGCATAGTGTCCGCATGCCTGCTGAGCCTGACCCTCATTTTTTGCAGGGAGAACCAAGGTTTTAGACGCACACCCTCAACTATTACCGCCCACCATGTTTTTTTTGCAGACTTTTGCAGGGCAAGCCTAAACGATGCAGGCATGCGTGTTTTCCACCCATAGTTAAAATGTATAAACCACGATATGAAGGTTGTAATGTTGGTGCAACCTGATGAACCATAGTTTTAGGATGTCTTGCATCTATCTGGCCACAAGATTTATACATGATTGGATATAGTTATATTAATCATGGTTTATTGTCTACTTTTATAGAGAGATAAAACACATATATGTCTTTATTTCATCTTCCGATTAATGAGATGTCCATCACTCTTGATAATGCATCATGCCTTATACATTTTCCAATCACGAGAATATTATTAAACTACTCAAGAACCCGTATGTCAGAGGTATTGGGCATTACAGTGACATATATGGAAGCTGACCCAGGAAAAGTCCAACAAGAGATAGATAACATCAGAGGATGTCATGCTAGATTTTCATTTCGGGTGGATCTGTATGAAAGCCACCTAGCTGCAACTATGGATGTTGATAGTGATGATGCACGAGTTTTATTTCAGAGAGCATGTGTATTGAGGTCATACATAATGGTTTTGGTTGACACATCTATATTTGTAGACAAAAAGTACAACCTATGTCGATGTTATCTATCTTAGATACTTCATTGACTTGGATATGATTCACGAGTACAAATTGAGGGCTTCTTGTGTGGTGACCTCTATTCCAAATTAGCTAAATATAATTTATGGAAGACAAGACAATTGACAGAAAGCAACTGTCTATTAACGATAATTTTTGCACCCTTAATATTAATTTCATAATACTTGAGCTAAAACATTAATAATATTTCTTATGATTTATATGAATCATTTTCAAGCATGCATCCACCAACATTTTCCACGTTTCTTAGACTGGACATATGTGGAAGACTACTTTGGGGCTTTGCTACATGCATGCTCGATCATCCCGCTCAGAGGGAATCAAGCAACCAAGTCGTTATAAGTTGCTCTTGACTTCATTGCGCCAAATGATATTTTCTTTATTCCTTACGCTGATCAAAATGAGACACGACCATCAGAGATGATATCCTTGTACTATGAATGACTGACATGTGGGTCTCGACTTACGTACCCCCTTTTATCTGAGAAAGTCGTGCGGTAGTTCAAATATATAGAAGGTATATCTAGAGGCCCCACTATTGGTTCTCTTGTCACCTCCCTCCACATAGATGATGATGGGATATTTGTTGAGTACTATGATCATCTTGTTCCAGAGGATGTACATTGTGTACCAACTCATCGTACACAGAGTACCTTGTACAAATAGATCCAATAGTTTTACAGAGTGTCACATCCTTACATGACACCAGATGTAGACGGAGATTCTCCCAGTTCAACTCATTAGGAGATACTAGAAAAGGAGCAGGAAAGGAAGGAACTTGTAGTTGATGTGTTACAGATATGTCATTGTATTATGCCTATTGTGAGAAAGTCCATAACTAAGAGAAAGTATGAGGAAAAACTTCTCAGGGGACCACTCAACATGCCATCTTATCAGAGGCATGACATATGTTGCGATAAAGAAGGCAGAGGAGGAACATGAATGTCAAATATACGCACTAGTTGTCTTTGACTTTGTATTTTGATATTAACATTTTGACATTTTGTATTATGATTATTTGTATTTTATGAACATTAATTTATATTTTACCTCTATTTTTATTTGAATATTTGATATTATTATTGAATTACAAATGTGTATGATTTATTGTGAGATTGATTTATAAATAAATTATAATGTAAGGTTTATTAAAAAATATCAAATTTATTCTAATTTACTGTTTAAGGGTGTATAATATTTTCATGTGGTTAATTCAAAAATTAAAATCTCGAACTTTTATTTGCAACAAATAAAATACACAAGCAACACACTCACATCCCATTGTGAGGAAACACATGAAATACACAGACAAGGTTAATCCAGAGATTAAAATCTGGACCTTGTTTTTATTTAAAAAATGGGGGTGCCACTCCGATGAAGTAATTTGGTGTACTATAGACACCTATGAATTTTAAAATCCAAATGATACGGAGAAAATTTTGGGATTTCTATAAGGTGCGCGTGATCACTATTTGAGGTGTAGGGAACAACAACCACAAATTAGGTAAACAAATATTTACAAACAATTTGAAATCAACTACTTTTTGAACGATTATACTTTAAGATCCAAAATATTATGATCACATGATTTTTGGTTCAAATAACATATACATGAAACTTAATGTATATATTTTGTTTGGTTCGCATAACACATACACCAAACTAAATGTATATATGAAATATTTGGAGTTGCTTATTACACTATATATTCTAAATTCTATGAAATTTTAATGTTATCCTTTTTTGCACATTTCAGATAATACAATTCGGACGCACCCTAATCAGTCAATACTATATTATTTATTTGGAGTGATATCTCTGGAAAAAGAAATTTATATGTCTGGAAAATAAAACTCAGACAATTAATTACATTGTTCGGAT